GACAAAAGGAAAGATATATATCAACAGCCACGCCCTCTTTTCATCCAAACATAGAACTATTGCATTACATGCATCTTACTTTCGTGTTACACCCCTTAACGTAAGCAAATATTTAATTATCTAAGTTTTCAATGCTATAATTCTTTCGCATGAGTTCATGCACAGCTTTCTTGCTAATTCAATTTTTCACTCGATCGCATAAGATATTTTTTTATGCTAACGCTCTAACCATTGTTATTCTGGATTTCTCATTGTGAAAAGGAAACCCTCTATCTGAGTTCATTTAAAGTGTACTGTTAAAGGTAAGATAAAATTTTATTTTTCAACAATGCTGATTATAAGCTATTAACATATAATACGTTTTTATACATCATTTATGAGTTATGCACATTAGCAGGTATAAGCTCAAGAGAATATAGCAAGATTTCATGATATACTATGAAAAAAAAACACAAGCTTCTCTGATATATAGATAGTCAAAATTCATTTTCTAACAAACAGAGATCTAAATATATAATTTCATATAGGACGGGACTAATCGATGTCAAAATATTGGACTACCATATTTGTAAAAAGTTCCAGAAAAAAGTTAACAAAAGCAAATGTATCTAAATTTTAGAGATCATATTTCAGCAGAATATAAGATGATTGAATTCGAATTTGGATTAATTCTTCCAAAGAACTTCGTATCAAATGTCTGAAATTGGACATACATAAAAAGAATATGTATTTATCTAGCATAGGCACTATCCTAAAAATGTTATTTTTCTAGCTATATTCCTATGGATTCTGATGTCAAAACAGTTTACATTATGATATTGAATGTTGTCCTATTTTTAAGATAGTGAATAGATTTTTTTCTGCTAATATTGTTCTCATTCAATGAAGTTACCAACTAAGTACAATTCATTTTCAATAATAGTTTCAATATTAAGTTTAAAAGAAAAGCTTTTCTATCTGTCTATATTCAAATAAATATCGTTTTTCTTTATTTTAAAAATATTTCAATCATTAAAATTATATTATTAAAGTTACTTTTCTTTGTTTTGTTTTTGAGTGAAATCAAGGAATGGGGACAAAGAAACATTCCGATTTCTCGCTCATTACGGTCAATGCGCAATTATGTAGTCACACTAACAGAGAATATTTATGTACTCTTGCATAAATCAATAGATTCTATTTAATTCAATTAGTTTCATTATTTGCAAAATAATCACAAAAAAGAAACATAATCAATTTTCTGTTGTGTATTCTGCATTTCTTGCAACAAAAACTACAAAACAAGAATAAAGTATAGTTCAGCGTGTGTATAGTCTTTCTTGAATAATTAAATGAAAATTCAGCTTTACAATGGAAAAAAATATCGAGTTTCAAGATTTTATTAATGAATGAGAGCATTTTTTCTACCCTCATTATTCCATATACTATATCAAACTTGAAACTTGAAGACTCAATTGAATTCAAGTTTCAAGCTTGACACTTCTATTTATTTCGAATGAATTCAAAATAGTTTATTTGTTGCGTCTTCGTCTTTCGCTGAATCAACATCAATAAAGTATATTTTTTAAACTACTAAGCATGTATCGTTTCTCTTCTTTTTAGCAATTATCTTTAACGTTACTAACTAAGCGAGAATGTACATTAGAAGAACACTTTATGTCCTATCGTAGAAAAAAACAATTTCTTAACAAATTGTTATAAAATTTGAATAGAAAGTTGCTTTGATCCTACTATAATGTTTTATTTGTAAGTCGTACGATATTCATATGATGTTACAGCTAACTTTTATATTTTATGGTAATATAATATGATTACCGATGTAGTAGCATAACAAATTCCTATTGGAATTGAATCAATACCAAAACGATGATCACGTGATAAAACAAGTTGAAAATGAGCTGTAGCTACTTGAGATGAAATCTATTTAAATAAATACAACAAAAGAAAAAAGATAATATTAATTAAATGATTAAAATAACTTTAATTACTTACCAAATGTGATAAATAATTAGCAAGTGATGAACCAAATCGAGCATTTATATAATTTTAATTATCTTTTTGTTTCTTGTTTCATTATTTCAACAGTATTTTCCTGTACATTTTCAGCTGGTACAAGTTCTAAACACTCATCTCTTACACCAATTTTTTCACGTCGATAGGTAAAAATTTCTTGTAAATGAAACGTATTTACCCAACCACGTACAAATGATTGAGTTAATATAAAACATCGAAAGAGATTATCGAAATTCATCATTTCAATCGTACTCGAATCTTTAATATCATCCAGAGAATTGTTAATTTCATCTTCTTTTTCTTTAATCGAACAAAAAACAGGACAATACAATGCTTTAGTATTCTCAATAGTTTATAAACACACACATATATACAAAAAAAACTCTTATATGTCCTTTTTATTTTCCTAAATCAATCTCGTTAGTTTACTATGAAAACAAAGAACAACATTTTTATTGCATAGCACCAGTAATGTTAAGTAATATTTGAGGACCATGTGGTAAATAGACGCTATTTCTTGATTTTGATAATTGATTTGCAATATCTTCAGTGGCTTCAATTCGTCGAAGTTCGATCAAATCTAACATGAATATTAAAACAAAGTTAGACAGGATAATAAAAGATATTCGAAAATTTACCATCACCAGCTTCATCTAAAACTTTGCCAATCAAATCAGCTGCACGAGTATCACCTTCTGCTGCAATAACATTTGCTCGACGACTTTGTTCCGTCTGTTTTTTTTTATCAAAAAAAAACAAACTCATACAAATTTTATTCTTATCGATTTACTTTTTCAACTAAAAACCGTTGTTTTCCAACATCTTGTTGTGCAACTTGTTTTAATTCAACAGCACTTGTGAATTCAGGTCTAAAACTTAAATGTGTCTAATTTAAAGAAAAAAAACAATATAATCAACTCGAGACTCTTTTTTATCGTATCTTATAATTGAAATATCATCAAGTAATAAACCAAATTGAGCAGCACGTTCTGTTAATAATTCATTATTATGTTGCGAAATAAGTGTGCGTTGTGTAATCAATTCAATAGCATCAAATTGAGACTTAGTACAACAGATTTTAAAACTTCATTAATAATCGATGATAAAACACGTTCTTCATAATCTAAACCCAAATTTGCAAAAAGTTTTGGTAAAAGTTCAGCTCTTGGTCGATAAAGAATACGTCATTTTATATTAATCGTTTGTAAATCCAACCGATCAGTTGAGTCACCATCGATGGCCGCAAAATTTTTTAAGATACCTCAGCCATATACGTTCATTGATGTTTGAATAGACATCGTATTTACCTTCTTTTTTTTGCGAGCTTACATTTTCCTCATGTTCACCTCTCTCCTGAAGTTGACTGTTTTCTTCTAGCTTTTATACCTTTTATTTCTGTTATTGATAGAATAGATCGTGGTCGTGTACGAATATCAAATATAATTGGTCTATGGAGCCATGAAATCATAAAATGAGTTCCTTCTTCAATAACATCTAGTTTAACACCTTGAAAATAATCAAAAATAACATCTCGATGATCATCATCAACTAGAATATATTTAAATTTAAAGAAAACAAGTTTTTTTAAAATCTTTTCATTACTTACCATTAAAAAGTATAGAATTAATCACACCACCACCAATAGCTAAACCAATATCAATTCTTCTTAAAACGCTAAATTCTTCTATCGAAATAAAATATTATCTCAATATCTTACCAGTATTATTAAATAAACGAGATGAATTTATTAGCAAATAGTTCCAGAAACAAAACGAAACCACATGAAAATTCTTCATATCTCTATCGATAGAAAAAGAAAATGCATCACTATTTAATCTATCTATCTACTACAATAACAAACCAATGTAATAAAATACATAGAAAATGATTAAATAACAATAAACTTTGAAAGCAAAAAAAAATACATGCATACTTTTACATAAATCGAAATCCACTTGAAAAAATATGAGCACCGTTCAGATATTGTTCACCATTGGGTTTTAATGAATTTGATGTATCACTGTTCTTTGCTACTGCAGCAGCAATTGCTTCGAATGCTGGAACAGTCTATAAAGAAATTATTTATATCATAGGAAAAAAAAATGTTTTTCAATTACTATAATTTGATTTTGTTGGAAAAAATTGTTGTGGAAATGATGCACCATCAACACGAAAGTCTTCAAGATTTCTATAGTTTTTTAAAATTTCTTCAAATTTTGAATTGATGTTTGGTTTTTCTCGAGAATATTTTAAAAATGCCCAGAATTTTTCTAAACCATATAATTGACCTAAATAGAAAAATTATTTTTGTTATTGACACTTTTCTTTTCTTTTTTTGTTTAATCTATTTTATTACCAGCTTCATGATCACAAAGAGTTTCTTGTTGAAAATCTTCAAATACATGTTGATGAAAATGTTTTTCTATGCCATATGTATAAAATTGAAATAGATATTCAACATCATATCTATACATAAATAGTAATATTCAATTCTTTTCTCATTATTTTTCATAAAAACAATTCATTTATATGCCGATGATCAGTTTTAGTATCGTCAACAGCATATTGTTTAAATTCATTGTACATATGACGATTAACATTTTCACATAAGAAAAATGACTAAAAACGATAGAGTGTATTCATTTCCATTGATTGACCAGGACCAAGTTTAACACGTACTAGAAATTAGATCATTACAGAAAACAAAATGTATTTTATTTGTAAATCAACATAACTTTAGATTATAAATATTTTCTATGAAATAATAAAGTTTGGCGATTAGTGAAACTTAGTGTTTTTAATCATTGACGATTATTTTATTGCTTTTCAAATTTATCATGCAGATAAGAATGATAGTATTTATTAAAAAACCTCCATAAAAGAGTAAAATCTTTGTTTTTTTTTGAAAATTATAGCAACAGACATATTATCAATTATCTATTTAAATAAGAATATAAGTCTTTTTAGACTCTGATTTTTACTGGAGAGCAGTTTTCACTGTTGTTTTTAGATATGTTGACTCTTCTTTAGTCACTAAAAGACTCGTTTTTTATACGTTCAATGTAACATAATTTCAATCTTTTTTTACTAGTAGTTTGTTTCTCTCGAAATATTGTAAATATGTACTGAACTAATAAACTTTTTTTTCTCTACAATCAACGTTTTTTTACCACCAAGACATTGTTGTTTATACTTAAGATAAACTTGTTGAGTAAAACCATTTTGTTGTAAAAGTGTATGAGATGACTGTTGAACCATAAAAATCATATGAATTTGAATTATTTCCATGCCAATAATGTGAATCATTGTATGATGATGAATATTGATCATAGAAATCTTGTTGTCGAGTTCCAAGTAAGTAAAACTCATTCTATACTAATAATAATTGACATTCAATTGTTTGTATTAGGAACAAAAAATAAAAGAAAATTCGTCAAAAAAACATGAAGCAACACAAGTTATTTTTTACTATATCCATTTACCTTATCCGTATTGAACGATAAGAAAGATGATCTTATTATCTGCAATAAGTAAAGTGAAAGCAAAATGTTTAGAAACGCAGTATTTTTGACTTCTTTTCTCAACGATATAACTACTATTCATTTCAAAATATATTGTGCTCCGTTGTTTTTTAAATAACTTGTGATAGGAATATTACAGAGACCTGCAGTTTTCAACATTCAAAAGAGAAGATCCAAAGCAATCGAAATATATCAAAATTTCATTGGCTAATTGGATAAGTTCTTGGCGAGAATTTTGGAAGGTTCCGGATCTTCTCTCTTGAATGGTGAAAGCCGATGATCTCTATGATGTTCCTATCAAAAGTTATTCAAAAAAAAACAATGAAGCACATTATATTTTGAAATGAGAAGTAGAACAAATCAAAGAATCATTAAAACATTTTTTTCTAAATTGGCAATCAGCTGTTTCTAATTTTCGTTGAGCTTTTTCATAATTATCTCTTAGTTCAGTCATTGTTTGACGAACAGTTGACTTATATTAGAAATAAATCAATAAATAAATAAATACTTGTTTATCTCGAGCTTGTTCGATAATCTTTTTAAATTGTTTAAGCCATTCTTGTTTTTTTGAATCAATAAAATCATGTATTTGAATTAAATCAATCAACTGTTTGATTTAAAATCGATAAAGTACCGATTGTTCTATATGGAGAACGATAACAACGTGCAACATCACTCAAACGAAATTCTTTCAATGATTTTGATACATTCTTATCAATGCTTTTATTTAACTTACAAAATCTTTATTTATTTTCCAAAGATCAGACAATACTTTACAAGAATCTGGAATATAACGAACTCGATTGTATTAATCAGGCACATCATCACTTCTATATTAATAAATATAAAAAAAAAAAAAATATTTTTATTTTTTATTTTCGAATTTCTTTGTTTAGCCATATCGATAAATATCCTATTCAAATAAATTTATTTTCAAAACATTTTTATAAGGATCGATTAAATTTATTTCCTTAGAAATTTTTAATCGATAATTCGAACTATTTTATCATTATTTCGTCTTATAGAACATTTCTATCTAGCAGTTAAAACAGGTTTTCGACAAAACACGTTCAAATCGGATGAAATATTAATCATTTGTTAGCGATCGTTCAGTAGAGAGAAATAAATTGTGCCAAAATTGTTCAGATCAATATAATGTTTCTAGGATAGATTATTAAAATAATAAATAATTTTCGTTGTCAATCTTTATATATAATAAGATAATCAATATAGATTCATCTAGAAATCGATTTATATAGTTAATAACGCATTTTTGACCAGATGTAAGGAGATAGTTAACTATTTAAACTAGCTTTGAAAAAATAACAATAAAGATTTAATATGAAAGTTTGGTTTTTTTAATTCTACGAATATGAAAACTATTCTTTAAATTTATTTAAATAATACAAAGCGTTTGGTTAAATTTGAAAAATTCTTTTTAACAATTTGAATACTCTTCAAAACAAATGATATTTTATTTCTAAATAAAGAGTTTTTTTAATGAAAAAACAATAATATATAATTATTATCTTAACTCGACAATAATAACATAAAATAATTTCATTATAAAACTATAGAAAAATTTTTAACAAAAAAACACCAACAAAGGGTTAACTCAATTAAATTAAAATAAATAAATTGAATAAAATCTTATTTCTATCAATATTAGTCTAACCATTGAAATGATTTATTATATTAATATAAGATTTCATTCATTTATTTAAGAGTTTGATTTATTTCAATAAATATCTTCCGTTCATATAATATATGTTAAATCGATCGAATTATTTCAATTTCTATTGAAAATAATTCTTTGAATATATTATATCTTTCGAATATAATTTATCAGTTTTTCTTCCCCTCATTTCAATATTAAAAAACTATTTTATTAAATCGAAATAAACCAAACATAAATAAAGATAATAAATGAGATTTATTTTTATTTTTAAATAGAATATATCAATTCTATATATTATTTTATTTTTGAATCGCTAATATAAATAAATCTATTAATATTATAATATAACCATATTCAATAGAATTACAATTATAATAACAAAAACAAGAGAAACATCGTATTATATAAATCGATTATTTAAAATGTTAATTAAAATAAATATATATATATATTGAAAAAAAATTTATATATAATAAGTTGTTGTTTTTTTATTTAAATTAAAAAATGAAAATCTCATCCAAGGATACGCTGCAAGACTTGATCGTCTTGATCGTTGTTCGGAATTTAATCGATTGTCATCAGATAAATAATTCTCATTTACTAATCTCGCAATAAAAGAATTCATTCTATTAAATGATGTCATACGCACTCTTTTTTTTTCAATATAACAATTATATAACGAAACGACGAAAAAGAACAGAGAATCCTTCGATAATCAATTCTTTACCAAATATTCGAATATAATATAAACAAATCATTTTCTAATAGAGATATTTTATTTCTAACAGTTAACTATTTATAAAGATAACCTTTTACTTTTTTAAACAATTAACCATTTACATTGAAATAAAATCTTCTATTTTACATCGAATTATCTTTTAGTTTCATTGAGAAATTTTTTTTCGATTAAAATATTCTAATAAGATATAATATATGTAAAATCTCGCTTCGATCTTCAAAGATGAGACAACTATCAATCTCGACATTTTTTGATTAGGATTCAATATTATTCTATAGTCACAATTTTATCTCGAAAATAAAATAAAATCAGTTTACCCGATTTTCAATAAGTATGGATTCCTTATTCAATATTAAAATTTATATCTACTTGTTTGTTTTATTTCGCTTTAGACAATTGAACAATTTTCTGCTGAAACAAATCGAACAACATTTAGTATTACTTGATAAAATAATCGAAATTGAATTATGATAAGCACAAAATCGTTTTCAATCACGACGACAAACACTAAAGTTATCATGAATTCTTCGTTTTGTTTTTTATTGCTGTTTGATTAATTCTACGATAATATTAACAAAATACAACGCACTCTTCCCTTTTCTTTGAAAGAGATCGAGATAGAGAAAATTGATATTAATGTATATAAAGATAAAAAAAGTGAATTTAATTTAGGTTTTTTTTTCTCTTAATCATGAAGTTGGTAAAGTCAATGCAACACCATGTTTTATTTAACGTTATTTTAATTGATTTGTTGATAAATAAATAGGCATAACAAAATTTGTTGAATGACTCGTTGTTGAAAGTATGTCACGTCGTTCACTTGTTTTATATACTGAACATTCATAT